TTTTTTTTTTTTTTTTTTTTTTTTTTTTTTTTTTAATTATTTTTTTGAAAAAGTAGTATCATGAACAGAACTCTTTTAATCAGTTTAATATAACGAAATTATCATTGAAGCCTATAAAAGCTACACTTTTTTTTAAGTGATGTTATTTTTCAAAAATAGATTGATAATATTTAAGCTGAACAAAGAATTATTTTCGATCTCACTACTTTTTAAGGAGAGAATTTGAAAAAAATTTTTCAGTACTTGAACTAACATTAAATTTTGAAACCGTTTTTAAAGGTCGATTTCTATTAGGTAAAACTTTAATGCTGCATTCTTTTACATAGTAATTATGTACGTAAGTAATTTTAAAATCTAAAGTTAGAATCAATGGAAAAAAACTACGCCACGTATTTTGTTAAGTTCTAAGCGTTAATCTCGGTATCTAGAACAAGAACAAATATAAGTTTCAAATTATTGAACAGTGATGTTTTAAAAAAATTATATTTTTTATTTAACTTTTCACGTTATTACATTCATGTGCCAATAATATTTTGTATTTGCTCGTTATCATTTTTTTTTTTTTTTTATGAATAAATCATAATAATTGTCAAAAATAATAGTTAACCATAAAATTAAGCAGTTTAAGAACAACTGCAAGGCACCAATTACTTTGAAGATCTGAAGCCACACTTGTAGGGGCAATTAGCATTGCTCATGAATTTTAAATTAATTATTTTTTGAATGTAGACTCCTAATTATTAATATAATTTTTTCCCAGTATTTGTTGGTGCCATTTTCATGACAAAAATAATTATTGAAGTTGCAAAAAATTGAATTGTATGAGAACTGAAATGTGGCATGTAAGTAAATGTAATAAGTTTCATTGTGTTCACTTTTTTAGAACATCAGTTATTCCTTTATATATATATATTTCAAAGTTATCAAGATACTAAAATTGCACGACCTTTATTTTCACTAGGGCGCAAAGTACAAACATGAATGCTTGAAGGGTGTGGTTGTTTTATGTTGTTGCTGGAGTCGCGTATGTTGTTTTTCTAACTGAGGATGAAAAGTGCAATTTGGCGTCTGGGGGCACACTTTGCGCCCAGTAAATTACTTTCTGTCCTAGGGCCCAAAGTGATTACAAGGGTCAAATTTATAGTTGACTGTTCACTTGTTCAATGTGCACACTTTACACCTCCGAGATTTTAACGTGTAATTATTCATGAGTCAAGGTAGCTTCGATCGCAAGTTAACAATATCCGATGCTCACCACTCGGTACTTCCCAGTCAAACAAATTAATGTCATTTGACGTGCAAAACAAATTAGGTGTATACCGGGAAAAAAAGGATCTTCGTCGTTGCAAGTAGAGCCACATGCTGTTTTCGCTGACCATTAAAACGACAACGAATAACATCATCATTAAAAAAACATCAGTATTTAGCTTCTATTTAATAACCGAACGCGCACGACAGCTCGTGCGTAAGCCATCTACGAGCAGTGGGGAAAAAATTGAGGAAAAAATGGTACAACGAGATGGCCTATCGGTTCGACAAATTTTTTCTCCTCAGTCTGGCTCTCTTGTCCACGTCATCGGTGCTTCTTCACTTTCTACGTATATGTATACTCACACGCAGGTATACGTGTACATACATTTTTTCTTATATTCAAGTGTACTAACCCGTGAAGATATGTACACAGACATGTATATACTTAATGTGCAGGTGAGGCGTGAATAGGAATGTATCGCTTTATCCATATATTTAAGTATACGAAAGAGTGTCAGCAAGTACAACGGAAAAAGGAGGAAAGAAAAAGCATACATCGACGGCTCGGACGAAAAAAAGCTCAACTCAGATTTCAATATACCTACTAACATCAATTCAAAGAGACACATGAAAGTGAAGCATCAAAGTGTACATAAATATGTGAGTACACGTGTACGCAGCACGTGGGGCCACTACGCTCTCTCCCAATGAGCGTGCGCGCCAAACGGCTCGTACAAGTAAATTCCAGAGTTGAAAAGAAAAAAAAGTTTGAACGCGCCAATACGTGTGTCCGCATCGGCTGATATCGTTTCTCGTCTCATCTTTTCTTGTTCTGCCGCGCGGCCGAGGTCGAGGCTCCGGTCACGTGACCCGCTCAGCCTTATAAGTGAGCCAGCCAGCCGGCCGTGGCACATTCTTGAGCGAACAGTGACAGTCTCGCACGAACGGCGCCCGCAAACGGTAGTGCAGACTCGCGTGGTCGTTTTATATACCGTGTGACAAATACACAACTGTTATCCAAACCCTGCAAAAAAAAAGGACCAAAAGTTACTTGTGCTTATTGTGACAGTAGTGGGTATAACTATAAATTTGGCGGTGCAGCAGCAAGGTCAATATGTACACCAATCCGTTCAACCGCAAGCACAGCACTATCCGCCAGATGTTGGACCGCATCTTTGACCCGGCAGTCAAGAAGCCGATCCGGCGCTCGGAGAGTGTCTCTAGCGCGGGCAGCTCCAGCTCCAAGAGCAGCGCGAGCTCTTTTGGCAGCAGCGAAGGTCGAGGCCGTTTCTTTCTGAATTGGGGCCGAAAATGACGTGGACAGCCGTGAGCTGAAGGGGGTCGTCGAAGACGAGGGAACTTTTTCTCGTCCACTCGGCCCCCCGAAGTTGTTCAATCGTACCGATCCCTTCCTGGAACGGAGGAAACAATCGACGTTGGAGCCCCGCTTGCGCTTTCTTTCTCTTAGCTAAGACCGAGGACGGTAGTAGGAAGCCCCCGTGAATTTTCAAGCTCTTGACTTGTTCCCTGGAAGCCAAAGCCGAGTCGTGTCCACACTCAAGAACCCGAGATGGGTCGTCGCTTTTTTTTCTGTGTGTTTGCTTCTTCATCGTCAAGTGCACGAAAAAGAGCTCGCGTCTTGTTCATTGTAAATATCTCACACCAAACAAAAGCATCCTAAGTATTTAAATACTTATTTATTCATTCATTACAAGTCACATTTACATGTTGAAAATAGGATTTATTACCTAGAAAGTGTGAAGAATTTTTGTTCATGAATACGCGTACACATGCATTTTGTACCTGTGCTCATAAGTATATTAGACTAGTCGAATTGTGGCTGAGTCAACGTATTGTAATTTTTAAGCCATCCGTCGTAAAACACGCCATAGTTGTCATCACGCTCTAATTGTGTAATCATTTGTGCATACAAAATCAGCTCTTCTATATGTACACATGCGTAAGAAAAATCGACAAAAATCGACAATCACGTATTGTAAAAGAAAAAGAAAAAAATCATGACCTGCTGAATAAATAATATTTTATTCGATAAATGAAATCTTTGTTCTGTGTGCTCTTTATTCTACCTTACCTGTGTATAAAAATCTTAAATACCATTTTTCTTCCTTACTGCAACCAAGTGCAAACGCTACAATTATATACATACTCATTTAAGGATTAACAAATTACCTGCTACCGATTAAAAAAATCAAGCCTCGCGCTGTCCTCATTTATAAAACTGCATCATTTTTATTTTGATTGTTGACATCGCGTAAGTGACCGGATAAATATTGTTGTTGCATGAAATTTTATCATTGGCTCTTCGATTTAGTCAACAAACAAGTACTTCTCTCATAACACGAGATAATTGCATCAGTGCCCGACCCCGCGAACGAAAAAACTTAACCTTGATCGATATGATAAATTAAAGCTCAATTGTCTTAACTGCAGGCTCAACTCGGAGAACCAATTCGTCGATTCTTTGTCGGTCATCAAATGAGATAACTGCGCTCCGTTGACTTTTGTTTTTCTCTTGACTCCAATTGAACTTTCAGTACCACGGAACAAGCTCAATCGGCACAAATATTTGTTGCATCTCCTAAACATGTATAAGTATTAAACTCTCTTTTATAACTGCAGCGCGTACAGCTGTACATGCATGTAGACATAAACATACCTACACTCAGTTGAAGGCTCTACCGTAATACGATCAATATATTTCGAGTTAAACATTCAAATGACTTACAGCAGTCTCTATTACCATACATCCGATATGAATCAATTTACTGTCATTCTGAATTAAGTGTATCATCGGCTTACTACATTTCCAGCGATTTCGGCATCGAAGACTTACAAACATATTCGTCTTTGCGGTCAGTTTATTATCGAATTCCAGTTATCTCGATGACCTCTCGGGAGAGCCATCTTGGACCTCATGAAAGTACAATGTATATTTAGCCATGAGTTTTTTTTGTTTCTTTTTTAAAAGCGACATTTATATCAGCGGCGAAAATATTTACCCTCTTAAATTTCGCGAGAATACACGTACTCATTCGACTTTGCGGTGCATACAAATGCATGGGATGATACGCGCATATCAAACAACGTGTACACCTACACTCCACACCCAAAAGAAATATAAAAATCATAACTACGTATAGCCCCTGGATGTTTTAAGTATTGATCCCGGACGATTACTCGCGAGCTTGGCTTTTCGACGGACACACGTGTACAGTTACACACCCACCCTTGGCAAGTTCAAAATTACCCAACCGGTTTTATTTCGTGGTTTTCCCTCCCCATCGGGTTCCCTTCCACTGCTAACTATACCTGTACCTAAAGCACGGCGCGTTGGCGGAGAAAGTATGGAAAGAGAGAGTCATTCCACAGTTTCGTTTACATTTTTCTATTAATAGACCTCGATGAATAATTTATCCGAAATCACTAGAGTGCGTGAATTCATGCATAAGCTCGTGGCTGAGGCGCCTCAATATCCACGTGTACAAACGGGAACACGCAGAGGGGAGTGACGTAAACGGGGTCGTTTTTTAAATGTATACGCTAGTGTATATCATTACACGATCAATGCGTAATGCCTTAATTCCTGGCAAGTTTCGTCGTCAAGTGTTATCTTAGGGCTCCGAGTACAGCCAGCGTGGCTGAGTGATTAAACTTTTATGTCATGTATTCCAGCTTTTCGGGAAAGTATGGCCATTAAATTATACATGGAACGCCTAATAGGTCTTTAATGGCTTGGGATTCTAGCTAAGCATGGGACTTCCGTTGATTTTCTATTGTTAGCTTTTCAAGCTTACGTCAATATGTTTTTGGCGTGGTACGTAGTGCAAATAATTAATATGGGCATGAACCAGGATTTTGGGATGACTACTCTGATAACTTTAGCAAGGCCAAAATTGCCCCGCTTTTACGAAGGGACGCAACGAAAACAATATTTTTTCCACTGGCAATATAAACTAGTTCGTTATTTGAACTTTTACGAGTAAAAAAAAATTAGCCCATTCAACAGCAGCTAACTTTCGGTGTTATAGCATGTGTGGGATTCACCCGCAAAATTTGACACCGATACATAATTGACCCCAACCTCCTCACGACTTGAATCCTTTTTTTGTTTTCAATCCAAAATCTACTCCATTCCTCTAATAATTTAGGTTCCCTTGACATAGTTAATCGCTGAATTCAAAGAAAAATTTTATTTCTGTATACATATTAATTTGATCACTTATATAAACATAAAAAAAATTTATTATTACTTTCGAGAGGGTAACTTTTACCAGCGAAATCTGAAATAGCAGCTTTTTTTGCCTATACACCTCCATGTATTGATACACTTTTAAGAATATACATGCACATCAATTTTGTCGCGTGCCGATCTGTAACGTGATACCGACGTTACGGTAGATATAAATACAGTCGGCGCGTGACTCGCATTGAGCCTACACAGTTTGCCGCAATCCTATTTTTAAACTGCGAATCCGATGCAGTCTTCGATCGTGCTCGTGCCACAATCCATGCAAATGAGATATCAACCGTGCACTTGTGCGTTTCAAAGGTCAATGCTTCACTTGCCTTTAGGATCCAACAACTGTGATTAATATTTTTTTTAAATACTTATTAGGGTTGTAAGTCTGTGCAGGGGTTTACAAATAAATTTATGCCCCAAAAGAATTTATAGTTTTTGGGATATTTTTATCTTTCCATTTGCTCACTCCATGTATACAATCATTTTACGTATACTGTGTATATTATGAAATTCGTTTTTAATAAGCCTTAGAAATCCAGTAAATAGTTTTAAGTCTTCTCAATCTAATTCACTAAATTTGTAAGGACTTCAAAACCATTTAAACATGAAAAAAAGTTATTTTCTAAAATCATTTAAATCCCATGTTATTTAAATAAGAAATTAAAATGCATCGAGTGGCACGTATGCATTTGGGTTTTATAACTAGGATCCTTATTTTGAGCTTCAATAAATTTTATCGGGTGTAAGACTAAAAAATAAAATTTCGAAGATAATACTTATATCCAGTCACATCTGCTAACAACGATCACGATTTGCCAAGACGTATTTATGTGTGCCGTAATAGCATATCAAATAAATGTTTGATAAAAGGCATACGCAAATAATGAATGTTTCAAAAAATGAATTTTACGAGCGTCAGACGATTCTTTTTTATTCAGCACTCGAAAAATAATTGGTGACGCTTAATCACGTCGTAGCCAATATTATAGAAGCTTTTTTTTCCTAGAGCTGCATGACGTCATTACGATTTTTTATCCTTATACGTTCCGTCGTAAACGAGTACGATCGCTAAGACAAATAGAATATAGAGAATAAAGTTGCAAATATACATTTGTAAAACAAAATTATGTTTAAGCGTAAAAAAATTTTTTTAATTGTATTAACTGTCTTCGCGGTCTTATACGTTTATTTCTACGCATTAGAATAGTTTACAAGTACAATTGGATCATGGTATTGGTCATGCTCTTCGCGCTCCATGTATATCCACTAAAATTGCATGGAAGGCATTTCTTCTTTTTTAATATTTTTATTTTTAGACTGTATGGAATTTAATCAACAGGATCTATCAGGATGTAATTAAAAGACTCGATAATATTGTATTAATGACTTTGAAGCAGACTGACCCATTCGTCACTATTTTTTCCTGATATTACGATGTTTCGATGTGACTTTACTACATACGTGTCAGTAGTTTGGACAGAGCCCTTGCGATTCTAATATTATTAGAGAGTGGCATTTTCAGTTTGGGATAAGACGTATAACGAAAACATTTAGTTGACGAGTAATTTCGCTTAACTTATGAATGAACTAAGTAGTGCCTACACACATATTTTCCAAAACGTATGTTGTAATTAGCAGGGAAAATTTTAGAGAAAAAGGAGATAAAAATATATGGCAACGTTCCAAGTTTTTGTTGTTTTATTTGTATGCTTATAAATGCATACGTAAGAGGATATTCGAAATATGTTTATTGTACAAAAAGTAAATATACACATTTTGCATCATTTATTTACTGTGATCATAAATAAACTACAAACGTGAATGACTTTTCAAGATTACATTTTTATCTTTAATAATAATAATTATGATGATGATAATAATAATAATAATAAATATAATAATGATAATAATAACGTCTCAGTTTTTTAGTATCAGTCGTTATCTTTTCTTATGTCATGTTAAAAATGGTATAGGTATATGTGTTACAATTGATCAAAATAATAGTTTATGTATCAA